TTAAGACATTTGAATTTGAATACACATCTAAATATCAAGATGTGTATTAAGATCTAAATACTAAATGAATAAGTCTGTTCTTTTAACATCTGAATATATAAAATTTAACTTTAATTAAAAATTAATAAACATAAAATTAAAATAAAATATTATTTAATCTTATATTCTATCAATGATATATATATATATATATATATATATATATATATATATATATATATATATATATTATATCTAATTAAAAACAAAATAAGAGACACAACGGTTAGGACTCCCTAAACCGTTGTGTTGTATCTGTTCAATAAAAGGAGGAGTATGCGTGAAAATTCAGATATTGAATTCTCTCCTCCTTCGACAGAAAAAAATCTCTTTCTTGTCTCACAAAATTCTAAAGTGTTCCAGTGAAGATCTTGTGAAGATTTCTTCTGCGAAACACTTGGAACGAATCTCTGTAACAAGGTACGATCATAGACTGTGAACTTTATAGTTTAATTCGTGTGTTAACATGTGATTGAAATCCTAAGTTGAAATGGTTGATCGGATGTTGACTTATGTGTAAACGACTCCGGAATGGAGTTCTGAGTGTTCTGTTAGCTCCGTTGGGTGACTTTGTACTTAGGAGCGTGTCTGGATTATAATTTGGAGGTTCGTAGTAGAATTAGGCTTGAAATGGCGAAAGTTGGGAATTTGGAAGTTTGACCGAGAGTGAACTTTGTGGTTACCGGGCTCGGTTTGGAGTTCCAGGAGTTGAAGTAGGTTCGTGGTGTCATTTGTGACTTGTATGCAAAATTTGGGGTCAATCGATCGTGATTTGATAGGTTCCGGCGTCGTTTGTAAAAGTTGGAATTCCTTAGTTTCAATAGGCTTGCATTGGGGTACAATTCATGTTTTTGATGTTGTTTGAGGTGATTTGAGGGCTCGACTAAGTTTGTATGATGTTTTGGGACTTGATGGTATGTTTGGTTGAGGTCCCGGGGATCTCGGGTGAGTTTCGGATGGTTAACGGATCAAACTTGGACTTGGAAGACTGCTGAAGAAATTCTGGTGTCCAGTTCTGGTTTCCTTCTTCGCGTTCGCGATGGGAGTCCCGCATTCGCAAAAGGTAGCCGGTGGCAGGTGAGGATTTGTTATTCGCGTTTGCGAAGGTTTGGGTGGTTGGTGCATAGCGAACGCGAGAAGGGGGACGCGTTCGCGAAGAGGAGAGGAGGCAGCTGGGACTCCACGCGTTTGGTCTACACGTTCGCGTAAGGTAGGTCGCGTTCGCGAGGCATGGGGTGAGCAAGGCATCGCGTTCGCAAGTGGTGCCTCACGTTCGCGTAGGAAGGTTTGGACAACTGATTTATTTGTGCTACGCGAACGCGAGAGGAGGGTCCCGTTCGCGAAGTAGGGTCACCTGGGTAGATTTAAACATTTCAAAACGAGGGTTTGAATTCATAACACAAAATTGATTTTGGGAGCTCGGTGGGAGGCGATTCTTGGAGAGATTTTCAGGTGGGTGATTGGGGTAAGTGATTCATACCTAGTTTTGGTTAATTTTTATGATTATTCTTTAATTTTATCATTAAATTAGTGATTTGGGGTGGAAAATTGGGGAAAATGGAAGAAAGTTCTTAGGCCGAATTTTGAGGTTTTGATCGAGATTTTGGTATCGGATTTGAGTAATTTTGGTATGGTGGACTCGTGGTTGAATGGCTGTTTGGATTTTGTGACTTTTAACCCGATTCTGAGACGTGGGCCCAGGGTCTGACTTTTGAGTTGACTTTTTGACTTTTGATTAAGAGCTTAGTATTTTCTTATGGAATTAATTCCTTTAGCTCGTGTTGATTGTATCGAATTGTTTGTGGCTAGATTCGAGGCATTTGGAGGTCGTTTCGCGAGGTAAAGGTGTGTTGGAGTAGAGATTTGCATGGCTTGAGGTACGTAACGGTTCTAAATTTGGTTCTAAGAGTATGAAACCCCGTATTATGTACCATGTGATTGGTTTTAAGGTGACGCACATGCTAGGTGACAGGCGTGCACCGTAGGAATTGTGACTTGGTCAATTCCATAGAATTGTATAGTTGAAAAATCTGTTGTTATCCGATATTCCCCGTGTGTTATAGAAATTGAACTGCAAATCATGTTAGAAATCATGTTTAGACTATGTGTTGGCACTATGGGGACCCACAAAGGTCGTGTACATGTTGAATTATCTGCTAAATTGCTATTTTATACTCAATCACAGTTTTACTTGCATATCATGTCTCAGTCTCTATTGTTCTTTGTTGATACATTATATCATTTACGTTTGGGCTGATTATCATGATTATTGAGAGTCCGAGAGATTGGCTAGTTTGATGACTGAGTGAGGCAGAGGGCCTAGTGACGAAGCTAGAAAAAATTTCAAGGGTGTTGAAACTTGAACAAGAAAAAAAAATTCCCCAACAAATAGGTGCACTGAAAAATTTAAATCAAACAACGTGATGTCGAGCTAAATTATACGTGTAATAGTAAGAATAATTGGATAAATCCAAACTAATATAAAGAAGTCACCAAAAAGAGATTCTACTTATTACAATTGTACTCGACGAGGCTTCATCTCTTGAAATGTTTGTATAATAGACTCATTAGAAATAGTACTAAATACTTCTCTTTCTACATAAGGCACTATGCAACCACCTAAAAAGTCATCATCCATTCTACTCCGCAACTCATTCTTGATAAACTTCATTTCTGAGAAAGCTCTTTCAACGGTTACAGTGGCAACAGGCAGAAGCAACGCAAGTTTCACTAAGAGGAATATAAGAGGATAAACTGAATGCTTCTTTGTCTTAACTAATCTTTTTGAAAGATTAGAAAGCCCATTTAGATTGGAGAACCTTTCGTCAAAATCCCGAACATCAATAATGTAACTTGCAAGATGATTCTCAAGAGCACTCATCCCAGATTCATCAAAGTCATCAGGATACAATTCAGCCATTTTCATTATTTTTCTAATATCAAAACTTGAAAATGAGTCAATTGGATCCAAACAAGAAACTCCATGAAGCAAATCAGTCGTCACTTCGTCAAAACGATCGTTAAGTTCTTGAAATTTCCAATCAATAACTTTACAAAATACTTCAACACGATAATGATGAAAGACAATATGATCAATAGGTTTTCGCCGTGATCTTCTGAAGTTAACATATAGATAATCAAAATTAGGCACCAAAATATCATGTTTGATACAAAATATAGATACTTTATCAACAAACATATCCCATTCATCATCCCTCCTTAAAGTTTGCAATCTTTTCTTTGCTACTTGAACAAGTAGCATGGCATTTGCAATATCTTGCTCTTTTTTTTTAAGGATATGTTCAACTCATTACCAAAATATCTGTCATTAAATGCAACAAGAATGCAACCTTATATGTTTGACAAGCTTCGAGATGCCCCGATGCCTTAGCTCTATCATCTAAAGTACCTGCATCTTCAACAAGAGTATCAAGAGCATCAACAATAGAGCCAAACATACTGTGAGAAAGCACGGGAGAAATATTCTTGATTAATATTGACAATGATACAATGAGCCCTATATATATATATATATATATATATATATATATATATATATATATATATATATATAATACATGTCCTACTCCTAATACATATGGGATTAGGGCTATTTACTACTATTTAACTATCAAACTAACACTCCCCCTCAAGCTGGTGCATATAAATTATATGTACCGAGCTTATTACATATATAACTAATACGAGGACCAGTGAGTGACTTGGTGAAAATATCAGCAAGCTGATCATTCGACTTCACAAATTTTGTAGCAATATCTCCCGAGGGTATCTTTTCTCTAACAAAGTGACAGTCAATCTCGATGTGTTTAGTTCTCTCATGGAACACTGGATTTGACGCAATATGAAGAGCAGCTTGATTATCACATACAAGTCCCATCTCACTAATCTCACCAAATTTCAACTCCTTGAGCAACTGTTTGATCCAAATTAGCTCACATGTCGCCATAGCCATTGCTCGATATTCTTCTTCTGCACTAGACCGAGCAACTACATTCTGTTTCTTGCTCTTCCAAGACACCAAATTTACTCCTACTAAGACACAATATCCAGACGTAGAACGTCTATCAGAAGGTGATCCTGCCCAATCAGCATCTGAGTATCCAATGATCTGCTCATGGCCTCGATCCTCAAACAATAAGCCTTTGCCTGGAGCTGATTTCATATACCGAAGAATGCGGACAAATGCATCCCAATGACTATCACAGGGAGAATCCATAAACTGACTCACAACACTCACAGGAAAGGAAATGTCAGGTCTAGTCACTGTGAGGTAATTTAATTTACCAACCAACCGCCTATATCTTGCAGGATTGCTAAGAGGCTCCCCCTGTCCTGGCAGAAGTTTAGAATTCGGATCCATCGGAGTGTCAACAGGTCTACAACCTGTCATTCCTGTCTCCTCAAGAATATCTAAGGCATACTTCCGTTGTGAGATCACAATACCTGAGCTAGACTGAGCGACCTCAATACCCAGAAAATACTTTAATCTGCCTAGATCCTTAGTCTGAAAGTGCTGAAAGAGATGTTACTTCAACTTACTAATACCATCCTGATCATTGCCGGTAATAACAATATCGTCAACATAAACGACCAGATAAATACAGAGATTTGAAGCAGAATATCGATAAAATACAGAGTGATCAGCTTCACTACGAGTCATGTCAAACTCCTGAATAACTGTGCTGAACTTACCAAACCAGGCTCGAGGAGACTGCTTTAGACCATAGAGGGACCGACGTAACCGACATACAAGGCCACTAGACTCCCCCTGAGCAACAAAACTAGGTGGTTGCTCCATATAAACCTTATCCTCAAGGTCAGCGTGAAGAAAAGCATTCTTAATGTCCAACTGATAGAGAGGCCAATGGCGAACAGCAGCCATGGATAGAAAAAGGCGGACTGATGCAATTTTAGCCACGGGAGAGAAAGTATCACTGTAATCGAGTCCAAATATCTGAGTATATCCTTTGGCAACGAGACGAGCTTTAAGTCGATCAACCTGGCCATCTGGACCAACTTTGACTGCATACACCCAACGACAACCAACAGCCGATTTACCAGAAGGAAGAGGAACAAGCTCCCAAGTACCACTCGTATGTAAAGTAGACATCTCGTCAATCATAACATGTCGCCATCCGGGATGCGACAGTGCTTCACTTGTAGTCTTAGGGATGGAAATAGAGGACAAAGATGACACAAATGGACAATAGGATGATGAGAGATGATGGTAACTTAAACCGACATAATGAGGATTAGGATTAAGTGTGGACCGTATACCTTTTCGTAGTGCAATCGGTTGATTAAGAGGAGACAAGTCCGCAGTATTAGCAGGATCAGGTGCAGGACGTGAATCAGTTGGGCTTGATGCTGGGGGCGGGCGACGATGATAAGTCAGGAGTGGTGGAGCTGTAGAAGGTTGAACTGGACTCGGTGGTGGCACTGGAGCTATAGTTGGTAGAACTGGACTCGGTGGTGACACTGGAGCTATAGGTGGTGGAGCTGCAACTGGAACTGTAGGCGGTGGAGTTATGGAGGAAGATGAATGGGAGATAGGGACTGAATCTCTAAAAGAAGGAACGGGTAGCACCTCAGAAATATCTAAGTGATTAACTGGACCTGTGAAGTATGATTGGGTTCCAAAGAAGGTAACATCAGCAGACATAAGAAATCGCTGAAGATCAGGAGAATAACATCGATATCCCTTTTGCGTTCTCGAGTAACCCAGAAATATGCACTTAAGAGCACGAGAAGCTAACTTATCTTTTCCTGGAGTAAGGTCATGAACAAAGCACGTACTCCCAAAGACACGGGGTGGAAGCGAGAACAAAGGTAAGTGGGGAAACAAGACAGAGAATGGAACTTGATTTTGGATAGCTGAAGATGGCATACAATTAATAAGATAACAAGATGTAAGAACTGCATCCCCCCAAAAACGCAGCGGAACATGAGATTGTATGAGTAGGGTACGAGCAGTTTTAATAAGATGTCTATTCTTTCTTTCAGCTACCCCATTTTGTTGGGATGTGTACGGACAAGATGTTTGATGAATAATCCCATGGGAGTTCATAAACTGCTGAAATGGGGAAGACAAATACTCTAGGGCATTATCACTACGAAATGTGCGGATAGAAACCCCAAATTGATTTTGAATTTCAGCGTGGAAGGTCTAGAAAATAGAAAACAATTCAGATCGATTTTTCATCAAAAATATCCAAGTGCACCTGGAATAATCATCAATGAAACTGACAAAGTAGCGGAATCCTAAGGTAGAACTAACCCGACTAGGACCCCAAACATCTGAATGGACTAAAGTAAAAGGTGACTCTACTCGATTATCAAGACGCCGCGGGAAATGGGAGCGGGTATGCTTACCGAGCTGACACAACTCACACTCTAGAGTGGACAAGTGAGATAAGCCAGGTACCATTTTTTGAAGTTCTGACAAACTGGGATGTCCTAACCGTTTATGTAATAAATCTGGTGAATCAGTAACGGGACAAGTTATTGGAGGAAGACAAGATGCGAGTCCATGTGATTTTGCAAGGATAAGGTAATAAAGTCCATTTGATTCACGTCCGGTACCAATGATCCGCCCGGTACTGCGTTCCTGTATAAAAACAAGGTCATCAAGAAATAAAACAGCAGATTTAAGTGATTTGGCTAAGCGACTAACGGCTATGAGATTAAAAGGACTACCAGGAACATAAAGAATTGAGTTTAAAGGTAAGGAAGGAAGTGGACTTGCTTGACCTATTGCAGTTGCCATGGCTTGAGACCCATTGGCCATTATGACTGTTGGAAGATATTGAGAATATGAGATACTAGTGAAAAGAGATTTGTTACCAGAAATATGATCAGATGCACCTGAATCATTGACCCAAGACTCAAAAAGTGAAGATTGGGAGACACTAGTCATGCTACTATTTGTTGGAACAAAGGAGGCTAATCCTGAAGATGTCTGTTTACGTGCTTTGTACTGAAGGAACTCAATATAATCCGGTAAAGAAACCATCTGGATTGGATTTAATGCATTTGATCCAACGAATTGTGAGTCTAAGGCTTCTAATAAGAATGACATTATAATGTTCACGCCGGAGAAGGTCAGAAAATTGTTTGGAAATCACTGTTTCATTGTTACTGTTCAGCGGAAACACTGTAGCTCGCCGGAAAATAAAAAAGTCGTCGGAATCTGATGTAAACTTGATGGGTAGGCTCGGAAAAGAAAGACGATTACACTGTCCAAAAGAAATTTTTTTGAAATTCTGGCCGGAACAGCCCTCACGCGCCGGCACGTGGGACAGACGCGCCGCCGGCGGCAGAACTCCGGCAGGTGCGTGGGTGAGTGTTTTCAGGTGGTTTTTTTCTGGGGTTTGGTCGCCTATCTCTTAGGGACCTTTTGGTGGTGTTGGATTTTGCACAACACTGATAATTAGTGACTTTGACGCAAATAGTCACTTAGGTCACCGGAAAATCTCACGGTGACTGAGTTCTTTCTTCTCGGATGTCGCTGGAATGACGCACAGCGATCTATTCTCACCAAAGCTCTGATACCATGTGAGAAAGCACGGGAGAAAATATTCTTGATTAATATTGACAATGATACAATGAGCCCTATATATATAATACATGTCCTACTCCTAATACATATGGGATTAGGGTTATTTACTACTATTTAACTATCAAACTAACACATACGAATAAAGTTTCCAAATGACTTGTAGTGAGATCCCCAACGAGTATCACCGGCTCTAACAAGACCAAGTTCTTGATTCAAGCATCTACCCGTTTCTAGTTCACCCATATCTAATGCCTCTTAGAGTTTTTCGTTCTGAGATTCTCGAAATTCATCCACACGTTTAGAAGAAGCTCCCAACACCTGAAATATTTGAAACCAATAATACATGTTCACCTACTTGAATACACTTCTTAGAAAGCGCAACAAGAGTCAGTTAAAGTTGATGTGCAAAACAATGAATTGAATGAGCCGATCTACTTTCTTGTTTAAACAACTTCTTAAGACCTTTAATATCACCTTGCATATTGCTTGACCCATCATAACGTTGTCCACGAATAGAAAATAAACTTAAAGAATGATGAACAAGTACATCGGCAACTACTTTCTTTAGAGATAAAGCACTAACATCTCGAACATGAACAATTCCAATAAACCTCTCCATCACACTTCCTCTTTTATTGACATGTCGTAAAGTAATTGCCATTTGCTCTTTGCGTGACACATCTAAAGACTCATCAACTAATAAAGCAAAGTAGTCACCATTTAGATCATCCATTATATCGTTACTTGTTTTTATCTTACTTGCGGTCACAATTTCTTTTTAAAAGAAGTCATCTTATTATTTTTTGGAGCACGTTTCAAAACAAAGGGTTTAATCTTATCACATTTATCTGCATACCATGAAAGAATTTCAATAAAATTACCCTTGTTCAATGACGTTTCACTTTCATCATGATCGCGGAATGCAAACCCTTGATTCAAGAGAATCCTCACCACATCAACTGAAGCATTTAAGCGAAGCCAATACTCACGCTTAGTTTGATCAGATTGTTTGTCAATTGCAGCAACAATATACTGTTGTTGCCGCATTATATCATCACAATTTTTATTTGCTTGTTTGTGACTACTATTTGGAAAACCAATATGCTTCTTAAAACAATCTTTTCTGTTCCAATTCCTAAATCCTTTACTCGAAAAAACATCACCACCACCTTGATGACTATTTCGCCCTTAAATAAATAACCAGGTAAAAAATATGCAGCATCGGTATTTACACTATGCTCCAACCATTTAAATTCATCAAACCATGTAGGATTAAAACAATGCTTAAATCCAGAAAAGTCAGATTGAGGGAAGTCATGATACCGAGGTTGGCAAGGACCACTTTGAATGTATGACCTCCTTATTTCATCGCGAAGGTTTGGATGATATTCCAATATTGGAGTTCTTTCAGCAGGATCGGACTTTAGACCATTTGTATCAATTTCTTGTCTTAGAGAAGAATGCAAGGGAAAATCTGATTGATCGGAATTTTCTTCTTGGTTAGATTGATTTTGAGATGCCGAACTTATTTTTGGTACTTTGTTGTAAAATTTCAACAAGTTCATTGCAACTTCAATATGCTGAATGTATAAACTAGTTAAAACATATTACTCCTCAACAATTAAATAAACAAAAAGGAACATAAAGTCCACAATTTGTGTTGAACTTACAACAAGCAATATACATAAATGCTAACTAATTACTCCAGTGTACTGTCCCAAAAAAAATTTATCATACCAAAAATCAGAGAAATTTAACATAACTGAAAATTTGAAGCAAAAAAGGAAAAGAAAAGACAAGATATTCGAAGTTCGAACCAGTTCAATGGCGGAATGGAGTTGTTGGACAGTCGGAGTAACACCGGCAAAGACGGAGAGCAGCAAGAACTTTCAAACGCAAAAGTTCGCTGACAGAGAAATCGAAGAAGATAGAGACCAAAATTGACCTAGGTTTTTTCCTTTTTGTTTGCGTGAGCCGTGAAGAATGAGGAATTGGGGATGGGTCGATTTTGACTTTTAGGGATTAGATTTGTTTATTCCCAATTTTTGTTTTATACAGATTTATTTATTCCTGATTTTTATATTATAAAGCAAGTCAAACAAAGAAAACGACATCGTTTAGTCTACTTATCTGGTTGTCTTTAAAAAGAATTGTACTGCAACAAAAATTGTTGAGCGAGGAGTTCGAACTTGCGCCTCTGAGGCGTTTTGACTACCCTTTGCCACTGGGCTATGCCTCTTCATTGTTACAAGGGTGTTCAATATGTATTACATATATATAAAATTTAATATTTTACCTATATACACGGTATTATTTTTCGACGAAGGGTGGTTAGTTGACCACCCTTGCTACACTGTACCTTCGCCCCTGTGAGGGCCTGATGGTGAGGATATTTATTGGATCGAGAACATGTTTTATTAATTTATGCCATGATTGGCTTGTTATAGAGCTTGGACTGAAAGAGCCCCTCCGGAGTCTGTACACACCCCCAGTGAGCGCATGTACCTTGTAACGACCCGACCGGTTGTTTTGAGAATTTATGCCCCGATCCCCTATTAACTGCTTCCCCCTGTTTATTTCTGCTATTGTGGGTTGCCGGGAAGATTCGTTTTGAGTTTCGGAGTGTTTTGGGACACTTAGTCCCTAAATGAGAGCTTAAGCTTTAGAATTTGGACCGTAGTCGGAACAGCGTGAAGACAGCCTCGAAATGGAATTTCGTCGATTCCGTTAGCTCCGTTGAGTGATTTCGGGCTTAGTGGCGTGTTCAGATTGTGTTTTAGGGGTCCGTAGCTTATTTAGGCTTGAAATGCCGAAAGTTGAATTTTTGAAGTTTACGGATTGATAGTGAAATTTTGATATGGGGGTCAAAATCTGATTCCGAAAGTTGGAATAGTTCCGTAGAGTTGAATGCGACTTGTGTGCAAAATTTGGGGTCAATCGGACTTGGTTTGGTTGGTTTTGTCATCGGATGTAGAATCCTTAAGATTTCAAGTTTATTAGGCTTGGATTGGAGGGTGAATCGTAGTTTTAGCGTTGTTTGATGTGATTTGAGGATTGGACTAAGTTCGTATGATGTTTTAGGATTGGTTGGCATGTTTGGTTGAGGTCCCGGGGGCCTCGGGTGTGATTCGGATGCTCAACGGGTCATTTTTAGACTTAGGAATGCAGCAGATTTTGCTGGTTTTCTGTTGCAGACATTTGGCCTTTGCGCTCGCGAAGGGGAGTCGCGTTAGCGAAGGCTGGCCAGTGGAAGCATCGCGAACGCGAGGTGCTGAGCGCGTTCGCGAAGAAGAAAAGCGGAGCAGTTGGGGACCTCAGGAAATTGCTCTACGCGTTCGCAAGTATAGAGTCGCGTTCGCGAATAAGGAAAATTGGCCAGAGGATTTTTGTACATCGCATTCGCGATAGAGGTCTCGCATTCGTGAAGAAGAACGCGTCTGGGCAGAACTTAAATTCCAAATTCGAGGGTTTGAGTTCATAACTCAAAAATTGGATTGAGAGCTCGGTAGGGGACGAAATTTGGAGAGATTTTCGGAGGAAATTTGTGGGTAATGATTCCTAACTCCTTTTTGATTATATCCCATTAATCTAAACATGAATTCATCATCTAATTTCGGATTTAGGGTGAAAATTTGAGAAAAGTTCTTAGGCCTAATTTTGGGACTTTGATCAAGATTTTGGTATCGGATTTGAGTGAATTTGGTATGGTTAGACTCGTGAGTGAATGGGTGTTCAAAATTTGTGACTTTTACCCGATTTCGAGACGTGGTCCCGGGGAGAATTTTTGGGTGTTCTTGTATTTTCTTGACTTAGCTTCGATTTCTTTAGCTAAATTATTTATTTGTAGTTGTATTTACGTTATGATATTGATTTGATTAGATTTGGGCCACTCGGAGTGGGATACTCGTGGCAAGAGCGTGATTTCGGATTGATTTTGAGCTGGTTTGAGGTAAGTGGCTTGCCTAACTTTGTGTGGGGGAACTCCCCTTAGGATTTGGTACTGTTGTTGTTATATGAATGTCGTGTACGTGAGGTGACGAGTGCGTACACGTGCTAATTGTTGGAAAACTCCATTTTCATTAAGTGAATAATTGTGCTTCAATTTTGTTGAACACTACTTGTAATCGAAAGCCTATTGTTTAGCTTAGGAAAGCATGCTTAAGTGACTTAATTGTTCTATCTGCTTAAACTGTTTACTTGTATTCTGTGCAGCATGTTTAGAATAGAAATATCTGTTTTCTTGGTACAGACTTGGATAGAACTGTAGATTCTTTCTGGACTGTTATGTGTTTACTTTGGGACTACGGGACGATATCCCGGGAGATCCCCCTGTATGTTTACTTTGGGAATACGGATCAGTATTCCGGGAGATCCCCTGCACATTTATATTTGGGACTACGGGACGATATCCCGGGAGATCCCCCTGTACTGGATATTTATGTTTGGGACTACGGATCGGTATTCCGGGAGATCCCCTGCACATTTATGTTTGGGGCTACGGGATATTATCCTGGGAGACCCCCTGTTGTTAGCTCTGTGTATTGGGTTGTTTCTTCCTGTGATTTCATCCTTATTGACTGTTAGCATCTTTAATTATACTGTCTCATTTTACGTTATTTTACCTTGTTATATATATATATATATATATATATATATATATATATATATATATATATATATATATATATATATAAAACCAGTAGGGCCCTGACCTTCCTCGTCACTACTCGATCGAGGTTAGGCTCGGCACTTACTGGGTACCGCTGTGGTGTACTCATGCCCTTTCCTGTACATATTTTTTGTGTGCAGATCCAGGTTCTTCTGCTCAGCCGTTCTATCAGTGAGGCGGGTGATATCATAGACTTCAAGGTATATCTGCCGCGTCCGCAGACCTAGAAGTCCCTCTCTGTTCTTCCCTTTAGCTTTAGACTTCCTGTATTTACTTTTGATTAGACATTCTGGAGTTAGAACACTATGTAGTTTTCTCTAGCTTGTGATTTCATGAGATTCTGGGTTTTGGGAGTTTGATTTAGTTTTGAGAGTTTGTATTGTATATGCCGAGCGGCATTCTAAACTCTTTTATTATGTTTTAATCGTAACTTGCTAGTTTTGTATTTTATTTTCCTTTTTCCGCAATTTGCTAGGCTTAACTAGTCGTAGAGACTAGGTGCCGTCACGACAGTTCATGGAGGGAGAATTTGGGTCGTGACATACCTACTGAGTGCGAGTGCCGAGCTATTAAGAGGAATGAGTGATTGTGAGGAATGAGCGACTATGAGGTTGGAGTGAATGGGAGGAGTGAGTGACTGTTGCTCTGAGAGGATTTGATTTCATTACTATTGCACTTCAGCTGGCATATATCACCGTCTTGTAATTTCTGAAAGATATTATATTCTGTTTCAATTGAACTTGACATGAATTAACTATTTTGGCCTTAATCGTCGAACTTGAAAGCATGCCTATCTTCCTATATTGAAATTACTGTAATTGAACTATAACTATAAAGCTCGTCACTACTTTCAGTCCTTTATTTAGTCTTGTTACTTACTTAGTTGGTTGTACTCACGCTACACCCTGCACTTCGTATGCAGATCCAGGTGTTTCCGGACACGGTGGGTGTTGATTTCTTTGCGCAGCTTGATCGTTCGAGATTCCAAGGTAGCTGCCCGGCGTTCGCAGACCTTGTCTCTCCTTCCCTATCGTCTCTCCTTCCCTATCTTTCCGCTTTATGTATTTAGTTTTAGTCTTTCATAGACATTATTTCTAGACTTGTGTTGTATAGACGCTCATGTACTTAGTGACACCCTGATATCGGGAATTCCGTATTGGGTTTTTACTTTCTATCCAATTTTTGAGAGTTTTGATGATTTAAACCTATGTTATTCTTATTTTTTATTTAAAAGTGTTTGAAGTATTTTGAAGTGTCGGCTTTCCTAGTACCACATTAGGCGCCATCATGACAACTAAGTTTTAGGTCGTGACAGTAATTACCATTGATTGGCATATGATTATCCTTTTCCCTATCAAGCAGTCATATCCGTTTCCTCGTTTTGCATACTACAACAATTCTTTTGCGGCATCTGCACTTACGGCTTGTTCTAATGGTTGTTATGTATCATTTCATAATGTGTGTATTATATTGTATCTTTTTGATGTATATAATGTTTGGATAGATTTTATTGTTTGTTGTCGTTTCATGATGTCATGCACCAATAACATGAAGAATAAACTTGTAATATTATAAAGAAAAAGTAAGATACGAGGTAGAATTATTATATAAAAAAGTAAGGTAGAGGATAAAATAGAATTATTTTATAATAAAAAAAGACAAATGAGAGAAAAAAAATTAGGTAACAGCGCGACCACACCAAATCAGCCGTTCCATAAAGTGGCACTTTTCGTTGTTACATAATGACGAATTTAACGACACAATACAATAAAATTAAAGTAACAATCAAAACAAACACTGTATTTAAAGTAAAAACAGGTCACACCATCTAAACAAGTTGTCAACTAATCCCACCACAAAAAGAGGTAAGATAATACTTCCTCTGTTCCAGTTTATGTGAATCTATTTCCTTTTTGTTCCGTTACAAAAAGAATGACCCTTTTCTAAATTTAGAAACAATTTAGCTTAAATTTTCAATTTTACCCTTAATGAGAAATTTTTGTAACCACACAAATACTCTGAACCCCATTCTGACATGTTTAGGACCACAAATTCTAAAAGTCTTCATTTTTCTTAAACTTCGTGCCCAGTCAAACAAGTTCACATAAATTGGAACGGAGGGAGTAGTAAGATTTCGACTAACTGTAACTAGAAGCATCAAATAAACGTATTTCAACATGGGAGCAAACTCCATCTGCAGCAACTTATTTTCGCACCACATAAATAGGAAGTAATATATTAAGCTTTTGATCTAAAAGTAACTCAATAAAGGCTAGTTTAAACTATGTAAAAAAGGGAGAAAACTGCAATTTTGCAATAACATCTTTTCCCGCCTTTTCATCCCCGTTTCATTTCACCGCTGCAGTTTTACATAACCTCGTTACAACTTCTTATCCTATTTGTATACAAGATTTGAGGTACAAGTGGGTTGGGTGAATATAAGCTGCAAGATTCAAATACACATGAGAAATACAAGGGAGGGAGAGGGAAAGAACAGTACAGGGAGAGAAAGGAGCAAATTCATAGCAACTAAGCACAAGTCTAAAAGTGGTAATCACCGGTCAGTTGCTATGAACCGAGAAACAAGTGTTACAAGCTGAAAGGGGCTGCTGAAGGTGACATTACTTTGCGCGGTCCAGCTCCACCGGCCTCCTGGTTTCCTACTGGCTTATTGGATAGTCGACGTTTATAGCGTTTGAGGACAGATGCCAAGTTTTCTTTCCCTTTAGGAAAAGCAACATCCCCTGCAGCAGTGCCTGTTCGTCCCTTTCGACAAGAAATTGCCATCTCCACGTCTTTGATCATATCTAAGAGCATTGGTGCAGTTGTGCATTTTCCTCGGCCCTGTTTTGCTTGTGGCGGCAAGCTTCCATTTGAAATTGGAGGAGGGCTTGACTTTTGCTGTCGGCCAATTGGAATTTGAAGACAAAAACAATGACTTGTTGGAGAACGGGGCTTGGAAAATGCCAGATCTATTATGCCCTGAAGTGGGAAAATGTTTCATTAGATGCATAATAAGACCAAGAAATCCCCGAAGACCAGTGGCACAAATAAGACACTTATTAATGTAAAACATTTCCCAAGACCAACTTAATCAGAGCACCTCACATAGTTACGAGAAGGGATATGTCAATCAAACAAGATACCCAAACAGTAAAGCAGTTTTTTAGCATGAGTGTAAGCAATCACATAGTTACTAGCTAAATACATCTAAATTCTAAATATTTCGTTCTATGGAGAAAAAAGGGAGGTCGGTTTTCAGTGGTGTCTTTGAAATTCTTTTACCACTTGTTTCTTTCCAGAAACGAGAAGCTAACCTTAAATTACACCAAAAAGCATGTTTCATTTCCAGATGCTTAAACTTTCCTTTTCATCAACAACCAACCCAGTATAATCCCACAAGTGGGGTCTGGGGAGGGTAGTGTGTACGCAAAACTTAGACCTTACCCCTACCCGGCTGCTTCCGATAGACCCTCGGCTCAATATAAAGTTTCCTTTTCAATATAAAATAATTGGAAAAAAAATCAAAGAAATAGAAAACTTACCCACTTGACTGGATAAATATTACTTAACAGCCAAAGTGTCAATAAAATGAGAAATGAAAAGCATGAAATATGAGGGTTTACCTGAAGACGGTTGAGAACATAGGTATATTTGCCCCACAGCTCTGGCCTACTTTCCATAAGTGAAAGCTCGAGAATTCTGTGAATGCACCATACACCGAAGCTAACAATGAGATCTACTTTCCAAACACAACCTTCCCCACAGTGAGGAACTGACATCACCAAGAACTTGGTGTAATCCATCTCTTCAGGTTTTGGAGCAGAACCAGAACCAGGCTTCCTGTTGGAAGAGAAATGCGATTCGCCAATGTTGGTCAATCTACTTATCTCCCTAGTTTCAGCCTCATAGAGAAATTTCTCTCTTGCAGCAATCCGATCAATAAGATCCTCATCAGCCCCATCATCTTGCCTAAATAACCACTCCGATCCTTCCAGTTTCAAAAGTTTGACGATACAACTTCTGAAAGATTGAAGCAGCTTAGCTTCCAAGTCGACCGTAGATGTGCTCTCCGGAGTAGATGAACTCTGCACATTTCCATGATCACTGCTAGCAGCAACATCCGTCTTACCAGCTACGCCAAATTGCTCAAAAGGCTGTCTAGACCACAGGGATCCAGATCCAGATCCAGTCCCTGAATTGGAGGAGCTATACTGCAACGAGAAAGCATCTCTACAGACTTTAGATGGCGAATGTTCAAACCTCTGAGGACCGCCCGCCCTCAGTGAACCAGTCATATAGGCTTGTTTGTACGTTGATCGACCAACAGACGGTCCATATCCCATGGAATTATACCATTGAGCTCTCCCATCAGAGAGTGCAGAATCTTGGCGAGGAACATAGCGTCCTGATATATCAGGCAAGCTGTAATACTTCTTCGAGTTGGCTGCGCCAGCAACGCTCTCGGCATTTTCAGTAGAGCTAAGGTCGGTAAGAGTGTTAACGGGCTGCATGGAATTATTTCGGGCTACAGGGACATTTCCAAAACCAGGTGGTGCTCGACTACTCACTCCACTCTGAGGTTTTTGTCCCAAAGCACGAGCAAATGGCTCAGCATAGTTTGACGACATTGATGATGATACAGAACGAGGAGATGGTGACTCCAGTTGCCCATTTAAGTAGTCAGATCCTCTTTCTTTAGCAATTTGATTAAGGTAAGCAGTAATCTGATATCCATGCACAGTAGCAGGCTGCTGATCATAGCCAGCAGAAGACGCCGGAATCCGCATACTGGAATAGCGCCTCTCACCTGAGTCAAGTATGTTGCTGTTGGAACTTTGCACATACGCATCTAATAATTTCATATGGCTAGACCACGAAGATGGCTCCTTTGGGACTCTATAAGTAGAGTCCACAGTGCCCGATACAAATTGCTGCTTCGGAGAGTATATATTTGAGTTGATCAAAGACTCAGGTACCCTTGCACTCCCAGATGGAATATACGCATTATTAAAATCGCTCCTGCTGCTCTCCATTTTTAATGACGCAGGGGCAGGTTTTGGGTCCACCTTTGAATCCAGACCAAGTATTATATCCAGTTTCTTGGACTTCGCTTGTGGTGTGGCCGCCCCATGGTAATCAAAGAGCTGCCCCCAGAACTCATCTAGAACTATTGTTAACTGCCTCCTAGCTGCACGACCAAGACCTGCTAATCTTGATAGACTTCCGGTACCACTCCCTGTGTCCTCTTTGCCACTAAGACTCTTGAATGATCCCGGACCATCAGAAATAAAAGATTGGGTGTTGTTCTCAGATACTCCTTTATCGGGCTCCCACGAATCTCCTTCATCATCCTTGTCATTGCCCATGTCCCCTTCAATTCTGAGTGTCTTCTCTACGACATCCACAGATTCATCGGTGGTACTGAAGACGCTGGTATCCACAGATTCAACACCAGACACCTCATTACAAACACTTTTTGCTGCGGCAGTTTCTCCTGCTGGTGCAGATACTTCAGGATGACTGAGAGGAGGAGCTGAAAATGTTGTTTCAGATTTGCTCTCATCAATGGTAGCCAAGTGAGGGACCTTCTCATAATCCAAGAGTGATTCCGGCAAGATTTGATCAGGATCTGGAGTTGATAAATCTGGAAGGCCAACCAAGGATTTTTCTGCATGAAATGCAGCTTCTTGCTTTTGGGCGGACCTTTCTAGACTAAAGGTAGAATCACTCACATCGAATTGATTACGCTCCAGATATGACTCGGGCATAGGTGAATGCAGAAATGCCTGAGCATCAAACCTGGAACTTGCAGATTTCAGTGGAGTAACTGCTAACCACAGCATCAGACAAAGAGATAAAGAGGCCGCAATGAGGAGAAAAACATATGGTATAGACACACTACTCCCAATATTCCACTTCAAATTATTAACCCAATCACTATTTCCAAATATCATCTCTATGACAAATATAAGCTTTAGGCCAAGTAAGCCGATAAATGTGCCAAGAGATAAAAACTCCATTAACTGAGAAATTTTGTGGATACCCATTATTGATCTGGAAGAAGCAACTCTGAACAGGGGTATGACAGAAGACGGAAGCACAAGAGCAACCACAACCTGCGTGAATATTAGTAGCTGATATAGGCCTTCCGCTCCTGAATTCCATACACAATAAAGGGCCGGAACAATAGAAATTACTCTGATTGTCACATGGTGTAGCCAGCCTGGGATATCCATTCCAAATAAGTCATGCACAACTGGTTGTCTACCAAGATCCCAATTTAGTGCTGTAATCTGATTGGAAATAAACGTAACCAGCATTATGGTGAATGGTGCTACTGAACTTCTGAACACCTGTGTCAATATTCAAAAACTTGTTAGATTTAAAAAGCCCCCACTCTATACAATATACATAGCTAGCTCATAACCAACTTTCGCTGATTCAATCCAACCTGATCGAGCAATGATAATGCGTCCTGAAATGTCAGCAATAAAAGGCCAGTACTAGAAGACACGTTGGCTGCTGAGTTCATCACGGCATAGTTGACCAGGAAAACGCCACTGAATATGAAAACAATGGCAAAAAAATGGTCCTGACACAGAGCTCCCCTGGAAAGTTCTGTTGATTCCTTACCTTGCTGCAAAAAGAATTTATATAGAGGTAAACACAACATAGTCTAGTATTAACCTCACCAACACAAGCAGCTAAGATCAATATGATATAGAGTTAAGGATCATTTCTAAACTCTGACAATTACTGATGAGACTAAATGTAACCATCTAATAACATAAAAACACAGAAAGCTCTAAAATTTTGTCATATCACAATATCCAAAATTAAATGTGCTAGAAACATGGAAATTATTTTGGCTGCACCAAAAAATCACATGCACGGCCGTTGAAGACACATCATTGAGCATTTGAGCCTGTTTTATATCCTTCTCACTTTCCCCACCCCAACCAGAACGGAAAAAAGGACAGAAAAAACTCTCATTTTGTGATAGTCCAGTTTGCTTTATCATAAAGAAATAAACACATCCAGCCAGAAATTATTTGATCCCTAGCATAAAAAGCTCAACAACAACAGAGGCTTCAGAAACATGGATTACTTCAAAGCTTCAACAGATTTATCTCTTAAAGGAATCAATCTAAGCAACTGAACTCATTACATTCATGCCATCTTAAATCCCAAGGATGAGCTGTATAAGTTTAGGATTCATAAACGACAACCACAAGATAGAAGCAAACATAGAATTTGCATGTTAAATAACAGTAAACAAATCGTCAGATGCATGCCAAATTCTTCCGTCTGGGGCTAGCGTTTTTGGTTTGTTGAGTAAAAGATTTATCAAGGCCCAATCTCGAATGGCAATAATTAGCTTAACAATTTAAAATCCAAGTTACAGACATGTGAGCATGCACTAGCACACAACAATGAGCCACCCACTCTGCTAGCATATTGAGAGAGAGAGAGAAGGGACACCTGTACAATAGAAGAATGAAGGTAAAAATTGTGAGGCATAATACTTGCTCCAAGTAGACTCATCAATGCAAATGCACTCTCTCCACTGAACTTATTCAGCATCCCACCGATGGAGAATGGACTTTCAGGTTGACTTATAACCACTCCAAAAACATAAGAGAGTAGTATAGAGCTTCCCCAGCCAATACATAAGAATTTCGCACTGCCATTGTCCTAGAAAAAGTATTTTTCACATCATTATTATTCATGGATGCTGGAATGAAAAGACAAGAATTTGAGATAATTCATAGATGCCAAATAACAGAAAGTCCACAAGGATGGTAACCAGAAAGACTTACCAAGAGAGAAGCAAGCAGTGGAAACAAAACGGCACCAGTTGCAGTTAGAAAAACACAGCTAAACAGGTCAACTCCAAACACAACATTAAGCCCATGTGCAATGCCCAAAACCTATCGAATCAAGTATTTTAATGCGCTACAAAGGTCATAATCTCAGAAGAAACATAGGGAACAAAAATGAAATAGTGAAACTACCATTGTGAGGTCCAAAGCAATCATCGAAACCTCAGCTTGAATTCCCAGGAATATGCACGTAACTTTGTCATATTCTTCACTGCAAATCTTTTGACACCATCAAGGACAACAAAGTTATTACACAACATTGGTCATGCAAATTACAAGGAAGATGAAACTTCAACTCTGTCACAAGAAACTTAAAATAAAAGGTGTAAAACAATGCAAGTTTTGTTATAAGCATTCTTAACCACTATATTGAATGATGGAAGAGAGACAAACTAAATAGCTAGAGTTGTCAAAGGAATGGCTTAAAAAGGTCAAGTCACATGATCATGCCAGTATTGTCCGCTCAATAGTGTTTGCCAACTTCTAAGACTCTACCGCGTAATGGAGCTTGTAATTGTGGCATTATCTTTTGCTCACAGGTGATCAGTGTTCTTAAATGCGAAAAGAACCAAAAAAAAAAAAAAGACAAGGCCCACAGAGCTTAAAGCGGAAAACGGGAAGTGAATTGCACAACTCACAGCGGTAAAGAAAAGGACATTGGGCCTAACTCAATCCCAAAATCCAGCTCATGAGATGAGAATTGTCCAAGACAAAATAAGGAGACCGATTCCAAATTCACAACTTATGTGGGACAGCTTAACCCCCCACCCACCCCCAAAAAAGCCTAAGCTTGTCAATATGGAGGCACAACATCGGGTAAACCAAGAATTGTGATGGGTCTGGCACTGATACCATGTAAGAAAATAGACATTGGGTCGAACTTAATACCGAAAGTTAGCTCATGGAGTGAGGATTGTCCAAGACCATATACTGAGAGCAATTCCACATCTCACAACAAATGTGGGACAACTTAACAATACCAATGATATATGAATTTAGTACTTTAATCAAATTACAACAAAAATAACTAATTTCAGTATCCAATATACAATAATATTTGATATTAATCCAACTCTCCAAAATTGAGATTCAAAGAACCATCAGCTTCTGGTTAGCCACTTAGTGCGTCATTATCTCAAGCGAACACTTTTGTGAAAAGCATGGCTTCACCCATAAAGCGATTAACCTTTTTTTTACTGTCAAAAGTTATCTTTCCCTGATTCTTTAAGCGACAAAGCGATGCTTTAATAACACTGCTTCTGATATCAGCTGAAAATGTATTCTCCCGGGGGTTAAGGACCTCTGACGGGGCTCCAAAAATGTCAAAACAACACTAGATCCAGATGTCCATACACAGAAAACGCAATTCTTGATCACATCTACGGGCGTTCCAGATAAACATAAAAGAGCAGAAAAATCAACAAGCATGCATATCTAACACCACTAAGATCCATCACTACGTAGACACTGCAATCAATAGTAAAATTCCAACGGAAAAAACACTACCTGGGCAAGATTTCGGTCTGTAACCAAGGCTATACAAGCTGACAGATACTGGCACAGAATTGCAGCAAAATTGAACATGAGTACTAGCATGATTAAATCAAACCCAAATCGGGCTCCTCCATCAACCATTGCAGCCCATTTCCCGGGATCAACATAGCCAATTGCAATCAGCAGCATTGGCGCAGAAGCAGAAAGTATCCGTTGAATCATGCTGGGCTGCCTATGATCTATAGTCAGAGTTTCAGATTCCATAATTTATTTTAAAAGAGTTAGCACGCCCAGAGATCGCAGTCAACTAGCACAACCACATTACAAAGCAACCAGTTTGACATGAACAAGCTAAATAATTACGATGCCAACCAGTGAAGCTCCACCCTTACAGCTTTTCTATGTAGCAGTTGCCGCTGCAACTGTCGACCGTAGCTCAATGTAGCATGGATAAAACTGGATACCAAACACCTCGTAATCTCTAGAAAGTTATAAGCAGGTCCGCGCCCAAAACCAACAGACACAAAGAACTTGACAACTGCGCCTTATTACGATGACAGTCTTCTCGAGCTGCTAAATCAACCAACTCCAAACAATAAATTAGACAAGTCCGCCTTATTACGATGATAGTCTTTTCGAGCTACTAAATAAATAACCCAACTCCAAATAAGTACACGGCAGTAACACCTTCTCATTCACCAACAACACGATTGCTGATTCTGATTTCTGAAGGAGTGGAATATTAAAACTTCAATCAATTGTCCAACATTTGTAGATATAACCAAAAAAGGCAACCGCAACAATCAAACATAAAAACAGCTGGTGAAAGCACTATTATCAGAATTAAAACTGTACAAAGATTAATACCAGTTAGAAGACAAAAATGCTGAAGTGAATTAACTACCCAACAGAACAAAATTGGATCTTTCACAACTTAATACATCATCAACACATCACAGTGTCCTGTAGTGAAAGAAACATGAATCACAAAAATACTAAAAGACCTTCACCGAGATCTCAAACCAACCAGCAGCATTAATATATTTCAAATTAATGGAAAAGAGAACTTAATAACAAGTATACAAAAGTCAACTTGCCAAAAAATGAAGGGAAGCAAATGTACAATACAGTTACAGCCTGGCATCTAAAGCTAAATCGTTTCTCCTGCATTTTGATATTACAAGCTTTAAAAAAAAATTGATTCAATTTGACTTCAGAAATACTATTCTTGTTCAAGAAAGAAGAAAAATGCAAAGAAACACCTTGACTTCAACCATTCAGATCTTCATTACAGAAACAAAAACCCATCAAATTTATCTATACGAAAAATTCCCCCCCCCCCCCCAACAAAAAAAACCCAAAACCCCCTCAAAAAACAAGATTTTTCAGACCTTTTTATGAGAAACTAATATAAAAAATCAAAACAATCAGCTGAAAAACTCAATAATTACTTCTTCATCGGATCTGAAATGAACTTGACCAATAAAGACCCTCTATTCTTTCAAGATTTCAGAACAGATAATCCCCGTAGGTATAACTACAAGTACCCATAACTGAAAAATAAAGAAATAATAGTAATATATACATGTAAAAAAGACACAAAAAATTTAGACAAGTGGCTATAGACCATTAGGGTTTTCCATATTTTTTTTAAGTACCTTCCTTTTTCTGGTGTCTTCTTTGTTTTCTCTATATTTCAGTGCTCAGAGTTCAGATCAGAGGCTTTTAAAAGAAGCACTAATATCTATATACTAAAATAAAAGAAGCCCCTATTTGAGATAAAGAGGAACTGTACATAATACATATCCTAGAGAGATGGGGAGTTATGGTGTGTGAGCTGTGAGAGAGACTATAGAAAGAGAAACTAATATATATATATATATATATATATATATATATATATATATATATCTTGTATTTATATGTACTAGGGGAAAAGCTGAATAGAGGGGGAGTTTGGGCTAGGGTAGAGTGGG